AACCCTTTTGGAAACTCACAAAAATTTTGAAAAAACCTCAAAAGCCTATTCCAGCGCTTAAAGAAGGTGGTAAAATTTTGATCACAAATTTGGAAAAAGCTCAGAAACTTGCTAAGCAATTTGAGAGTTCCCATAATTTCAGTTTGGGTCTTACTAGTCCTATTGAGAATCAGGTTGCTCGGGATTTTCTGAATATTTTCTCTCGGGAAAATATTTTTGATGATTCCTGGGGGACTGATTTGGACGAAGTAAGGTCTATAACTAAAAATTTTCAAAATATGAAAGCTCCAGGTGATGATGGAATTTTCTATATCCTCATCAAAAAACTCCCAGAGAGTACCTTGTCTTTCTTGGTAAAATTATTTAACAGATGTTTCCATTTGGCATACTTTCCTGATAAATGGAAAAATGCAAAAGTTGTTCCAATTTTGAAGCCGGATAAAAATCCAGCTGAAGCTTCTAGCTACCGCCCAATAAGTTTGCTTTCTTCAATAAGTAAGCTTTTTGAAAAGATAATTTTGAATAGAATGATGCTTCACATCAATACGAACTCAATTTTTGCAGATGAGCAGTTTGGATTTCGCCATGGGCATTCAACTACTCATCAACTCTTAAGAGTTAACAATTTAATTCGTTCAAACAAATCTGAAGGCCACTCGACTGGAGTTGCTCTTCTAGACATAGAAAAAGCATTCGACAGTGTTTGGCATGAAGGTTTGATTGCTAAATTGAAAAAGTTTAATTTTCCACTTTATATTATTAAATTAGTTCAAAATTATTTAACTGACAGAACTCTGCAGGTAAATTATCAAAATTCCAAATCTAATCGACTACCTGTTAGAGCAGGAGTTCCTCAGGGTAGCATTCTTGGGCCTATATTGTATAACATTTTCACTTCGGACCTCCCTGATTTGCCTCAGGGTTGCCACAAATCTTTGTTCGCTGATGACACAGGCATTTCCGCTAAAGGAAGAAGTCTTCGTGTTATTTGCAGCAGACTTCAGAAAAGTTTAGATATTTTCTCTTCTTATTTACAAAAATGGAAGATTTCTCCCAACGCTTCCAAAACTCAACTTATAATATTTCCACATAAGCCCAGGGCTTCCTTTTTGAAACCTAGTAGTAGTCACATAGTCACTATGAACGGAGTTCCAATTTCCTGGTCAAACCAAGTGAAATATCTTGGATTAATACTTGACCAAAAATTAACTTTTAAAGATCACATTGAGGGCATTCAAGCTAAATGTAACAAATATATTAAATGTTTGTATCCTCTTATAAACAGGAAATCCAAACTTTGCCTGACGAATAAACTTCTAATATTTAAACAAGTTTTTAGACCGGCCATGCTTTACGCTGTGCCAATATGGTCTTGTTGTTGCACTACCAGGAAAAAAGCACTTCAAAGGATTCAGAACAAAATTCTGAAAATGATTTTGAAGTTGCCTCCCTGGTACAGTACAACCGAAGTACATAGAATTTCGAATGTTGAGACTTTAGCACAAATGTCCAACAAAATAATTAATAATTTCAGGCAAAAATCGTTGCAATCCTCAATTGCAACGATTAATTCCCTTTATACTTAGATAAGATTTAGTTTTAGTTTTTAGTTTTAAGATATCAATTGTTATACTGACATGCAGGTTAAAAAACCTGTTTAAAATACTGAATTGCCAAGACATGAACAATGTAAAAACACTTAGATATATATCATAACAATTAAGGCTGGTACGTTACTGCAGTAACTGGAGCACCTAGGTTAAAATGAAATGTAATTTATTTTGAATTTGGAACAAATAAAGAGTTAAAAAAAAAAAAAAAAAAAAACGCACTCGGCGTAGTTGCCCTTTCGCCCCCAGGCTCTGCTGCCGCTGCTCTGCTGCCGTTGCTCTGCTTCCGCTGCTCTGATACTGCTGCTCTGCTGCAGATCGAATAGACAATGATGGAACGGGTGACCTTGTTGGACGCTTATATAGTAGAACAGAAAATATCATAGGTGTCAGATACTCGCATCTGATGTCTCGGTTGGAGAAAGTATAAGAATATTAAAAAAAATCAATCGATTTTCAACATCTTTAGACAATGGTTTACTTTTAACCATTTTTGAATAGTTTACAGAATGAAATCAATAGTTTTGAAACATTCAGCAAATTGCTAGAAATATTTCCAATCGATTGATGCCATTATCTCGTAAATCTATCGAGAGACGGTTGAGTTATTATCGTTCAAAATCTTTTGATTTTTCGTAACGCATCCAAAATGACTGTTTTCAATTTTGTACCCCCGTATGTTGCCGAAAGACGTTATCCAACGTCAAAAAATCCAATACAATTGAGAGTGCTTTTTAACTAGAGTTCTGAGAAAAATTGACTGAGCATTCTTAGACCAATTCTAATAAGAATTCAAGATCAGTTCTGATTTTTTTAGAGAGCTCTGATAATAATTCCATGGAAATCCCGTGAACTCCAAATATTATCTCTGCGGATAATTCTAAAATATTTCTGGAGAGATTTCTGAGGATACTTCCAAGAGAACTCCAAATTCCGAGAAGAATTCCAATCGAATCGAATTTTGAGGGTTTAATCTCAAAGGAATTCTGAGATGGATTTTTTTTTGAGAATTCTGAAGAAATAGGGGAAATGGCTCTAATGTTGGCCTATGGATCTAAAATTGGACCCATCGCTAAAAATCTGCTATTTATCTATTTTATCTAGATGAACGGTCCAATGGATAGTTTTGGTCACTATTGAAAATTTAGTCGATTGCTGCATTTATGTATGGGCCCAAATTAGGGGCATTTGGGTAGGTACGAATCCGGTAGAGGCTTACGTCCGATGGCGACTTGAGTGTGTTACCTCCCAGGCTGCTCCGAAGGGAATTCTCTTAGGAAGGATATTCACAGAGCACGGGGTCGCTTATTCTTGAACACTGTTACGCAACTTTAACCCCAGTCACTTATCTTGGCAGGAGCCACACACTTGTCGGTGGACATTTCCTGAACGAATAGCAACCAATCAATTTTTAGAAACTAGGTGGAGATGATCCAAAGTAGCGGTTCTAAATGCGGACCAAAAAGAGCGAGGCTTGTACACCCCTTTTTGGGCACGAAAATCGAGAACAAAGAAAGAAGGAACTTAGGGAGTGCTTCCTGACGTAATAGTAGCCGACAAATAGGTTTACATGCTAGATTTATTCGGCCCACAATGGGCTCTAGAGAGAGTTTTTAGAGAGACATTCGGGTGTACTTGCGCTTGTTTTTGATGACGATGAGCTACGTTGGCATGCACAGACGATGGGCAGGCCCGTCAAGGGCAACTTGCAGTTGTCCGGCCGATCCGGGGTCGGTTCAAACAGTGGTGGTGAACGGGGGATGCATACCGTGAGACTAGGGGCAACAATTTGACACCAGCTGGCAGGGGGCGTCTTGTCTGACCGCCGGGAAGCCTAGCCTGGTTCCACAACACCGTCTTCGTTGCTACCACTGGTTGAAATCACAAGAAAAAGCTACGGTTACTATCGATCATCTATTTTTTTTCTATAATTCGAATACCGGAATTGGTAAACCAGACTGCGTAACAGTTGGCAACCATTCCGCCCAGGACGTCGATTAATACTAAACCGGTTGGAGTCCAGGTCAAACCGCCGTCAATAAACGACAAAGGTGAAATGCGTTACGGGTGCTTTTTGAATGGACAGTTTGGCTCTGCACATCACAATGACAGCCAGGAATTTCGGCTACCAGTAAGGCTGTCCAGTATTTTAATGGGATTTGGGAATTGGTCTTAGGTGCTCACTGGCAGGAGGACCAATTGGGATGAGGGAACTTGTGGAGGAGCCTACAAGTATTAACTATTTGGAACCACTGGTTACAAGTGTGAAACAATCGATAGAACTGTTTCCGCTCAAAGGAGGTACATGAGCAAACGGACGATCATCCCTTTTGCCAGTGGTGGCGGGGGAAACAACCCTCAGCAACGGATGAGTTTGGTAAAGGGTATTATCAATCCGATGTAAATTATCAAAATTATCTACCTAGATATATCAAAATATTGATTTCAGACGCAGAATCAAATTCAAGATCCTCAAAAAAAAAATGCTGTCGTATTAATGATCTAATTAACCCTATTTAAGCTAGTGGTTCCATTGGTTATTACTAGAAACACTGGAATAAGAGACCAGCGGAGAAAAAAAAAACATGTATTTGGCAACAAGATAAACATCAAAGCAATCCTGGCATCACTTGCATTTGTAACTGCTTGCGAGTGACTTCGCCAATGCACCGACGATCGAGTTCATGAGTGATTGTTAAACGATTTTAATACTCCTCCCTAATTGAAGATAACCATTTGTAAACATTGCAGATTGGAACCGCTTTTGACAGTTCGATTGGAATCATAACAGTGTCTCCGCTGGTCTCTTATTCCAGTGTTTCTAGTTATTACATTAATTTAAATCTATATCGCACAACTAGTAAAATTTTGACTAGTAAAAAATCACTTCAAAAGCCCTTCATAAGAGACTCATTTCAATATCAAGCCGTGTTTGAATTTCTATGTTACCACATAAATATCACTATTGTTAACTTATTTATTATTTAAAAGTAACTGTTTGGTCAATATTTTCGTAATTTTAGTTTTTAAAGTCACTACTATTATATCGCATCAGCACTATCAGCTCTGCAAACGGAGGATCTAAGATTCACTCGAGCGGCTGTCCACAAATCACGTGGAAAATATTTAATAGATTTTAGACCATACTCCTCTGCGTGGACCATGATCCGTACAATTATTTAAAAGAACGTATAAATCATAAAAACTGGCTAACCCTCTACCCTTCCTAGTGTGACCACGTTGAACATGGATAGTTTTGCTATCGGCAAGATCATCATTGTTCTAACTAAAGTCTTACTTTCTAGAACGGATCAATATCATGCTTGATAAATTCTCATAACCATTCAATCGCACTAAAGCCAATTCTTTTTCCGCTTCGAATCGTTTCAGAAACATGAGAATCTAGTCAAAAGCAAAGTCAGCAGTGATCTACCAAAAAAAAAAAAAAGAAGAAGGGAAAACCAAGCTAAACAAACCTGTCACGAGACAGAGACACAGCGCTCGTGTAGCAATCGAACCAAAAAGTGTAATATGGAGCAATGCAATAACGATCGTCCCTGTGTGATCAGCAGCGGGAACTTTTTCCCGCAGGGCGTGCCTACGAACGGTGCGCCGCATCAGCATAATAACCACCATAACAATAATAATAATAACAACAACAACAACCATAATAGCCACGGTAACCAACACAAGCAAAGGCAGCATCAGCACCACCAGCACCCACACCATTCCCCGCCACCCATCAGCAAGCACCTGACGCAGAAGCATGACCCGAACCTGCACAGCCCGGCCAACGATCAGTCGTCGTTGGGTGAGATCGAGGTGATTCTGGTCCAGCAGCACAAGCAGGATGCCCTCTCGGTGATCATCCACCCGCAGGAGGGCATGCAGCAGATCAACATGTGCTTGAGTGGTTCCGGCAATCCCGGCTCGGTGGACTCGATCATGTCGTCGGACTTCCAAACCCTGTCGCCGATGCACGATCGGGACTCGCCCGTCAGTATCAGTGCGAACACGTCGTACGCCACATTGACCCCGTTGCAACCCCTGCCACCTATTTCGACCATGTCGGACAAGTTCGCCTATTCCTTAGGGGGCAACATCTGTGAGCCATTTCCCGGGATGAACAACAGTTCCGTCGGGGTGAACATAGAGATCAACTCGTGCTACAACCTCGAGAAACTGGGCGTGATCCATTCACCTGTTCACATCAATTCAGTCCAGGAGCTATCACCGACGGATATGCACCATCATGGGTTGGACAAGAGTCACGTCCTGAAGGACGCCAAGCTGGACCACCTCTCTGATAAGGACGTGGACGTGGCAGACGGTAAGAACGAATGTATCCTGGTACGTGCCTCTCCGATTCCCTCGAATCTCAGCTCAGTGGACGATCGCTTTCTGACGTCGACGGCGAAGCCGGATCTTGGCCGTCAGAAGGACGACACCGACCAATTCACCAGTACAGTGCAATATCTGGATCATCCGAGTGATTCGGACGTGATCCACGGTGGTGGCGTAGGTGGACCCGGCGGGGCCGGATCCTGCATCAAAGATCACCATTCGACCATATTTCTCAACAAGTCTTTCAGTTCAAAAGCAAACATAAGCGACCTTAATCTGTGTAAAGAAATTGTTATAGATGATGTTTACGAAGAGTCCGACTTGGATCACGTCAAGCTGGAGGAAAAGAAGCTGGAAGATTCGCTCACCGGAGGCCATCACTCGTCGCTGTCGAACGGGGGTGGTGGAAAGTGCGGCGGTGGAGGTGTCGGTTCGATGGGTGACGTCGGTTGCATGAATGGTGACGTCGAGGAGATCAATACCAAGGAGCTGGCCCATCGGATCAGTTCGGAGCTAAAGCGCTACAGTATCCCGCAGGCAATCTTCGCACAGCGTGTCCTTTGCCGGTCGCAGGGTACGCTCTCCGATCTGCTCCGAAATCCGAAACCGTGGTCCAAGCTCAAGTCCGGCCGGGAAACGTTCCGGCGCATGTACAAATGGATCCAGGAGCCCGAGTACCAGAGGATGTCCGCCCTCAGGCTAGCAGGTATTGCGTCGCTTCCTTGACGTTTTGGATGTCGTAACTGTAAGAGTAGATATTTCGCACACCCGATTATGGCACCTATATTTGTTTTTATTTTATTCTTAGCAAACCATTCTGTGATTCAAACGCTGTGATTAAAGACTTTCTTGCCTATGATTTATCCCGAATTTGTCGTTTTATTTTAGATGTTAAGCTTTGTTTTACCTAGGCTTAAGTTTCAGTTTTTCGTTGTTTGCCGTGTAAGTAGATGTGCTTTGAAGTTGATTTTTTTTTGGCGTTGTCGCCCAGCAGAAACCGAAATCATCTAACCCGATAATGTTTCCATGTCTCTCTTTCTCTTTTCAAGCAACTCAATCGGCGAAACCAGGTTAATTGATGCGCATATTTGTAACCGCCCATGTCTCTAACTAACTAACCATACTAACTTGGAAATCATCTCTCATCTTTCTTTTCTGCACACGCTTTTCATAATCGCATGCGATGACTACTAACCGCAACTTCAGCAGTGAATGCTAAAAAGCACGAGGAACCGGAACCTAACATCATGATGGGACACTCGAAGAAGCCCCGGCTCGTCTTTACGGATCTGCAGAGAAGGACGCTTCAGGCGATATTCAAAGTATGCTTAACTAACACATTTTCCGCTATCTCACTGTTGTTCTTAACCTGGTTTCTTTTTGTTTCAAATGGGGCAGAAGGTATGCTTTGTGCGGAAGATTGGATTGGAACACATTTAGGTCTTGTGTTCACAGACTTGTGATCTACTTTGCACTCAACTCAACGCTCTCACCACTGAGTATTATGTCTTAGCGCATGTCTCTACGTTACAATTGTGCCAAAGTCCGTTTGCGAAGGATTGGTAGAGCTTAGTCCGGCAGTCAGAACCTGGGACAACCATTTTATTTTTCCGGTCTCACAAATGATTGGGTGAAGTAGTTGCACTTAGTTTTAGTAACAACAATTTTGGATTTTGACTTCTTTTATAGCACAGATTATGAGTAAGTCGTCTCACAGCAGTACCTTACCTAATAATAGCGTTCCAAAATTTTGATTTTCTATGACATTTTCCCTATGAAACAGTCCCGAATTTGCGCAGCTTGAAATTTCCCCACCCTAGTTGGCATTAATTTGGCACTTGAAAATATTGTAAATCTGGATAAGTTGGGAAGGATTTCAGTGATCTGGTTAGGTAAGATTTCAGAATTTCTGAGATCTGCTAATATTTATAGTGTTGTACCAGTGATGGCAAAGTTCACGAAAACTCTAAATAATTCGCGAACTTTAACTTTGTTAAACTTTCGAAATGGTATAAATTTTGCAAATTTTTGCAACGCTATACCCTTAAAATAAAATAAAATAATAAAGATAACATAGGTTAGTGTCTTAGTGTCCTCATTAGTTGGTTTTATCTGAAATTTAACAGTTTTTATTCTTAACCAAATTCGTTGGATGCTTATAACTATGAACATACACGGAACCAAAAAATTACCCAAAATTAAGTTCTTTTCACTCATCTCCCATGTTCCGTTCAATAAGCTAATTTTCAGTAAACCGCTTATAGTAGTTTACATATGACTAAGGCAAAAATAATTACTTACTCGTAAGTATTTTCTACCCAAAATTAAGTTTAATTGACTCAAATTTGAGAATATCTCATATACTCACTAGTAGCTTATTGAACGATAGTCACGAGAAAGTCGAATCTCTCGTTCCGTTTTTGACAGCAACAAAAAGTGAGAGTAGGATGCAAAACTCAAAATTACCCAAAATTTAGTAAAAAGAACTTAAATTTAGGGTAATTTTTTCTCTCTGTGTATGCTTTGATCAGCGATCAAAATTTTCGCTCAACTGCAAGTTAAGCGACGCATCACTCAAGCAGCTTATCGCAGAGCAGAGAATCGACAATATTTTCATTTCTCATTCTTCAACGATTATTCATTTTCCTCTCCCATCCAAGCCATGAGCATATCGCTCTCTCAAAATCGGTGCTCTCACAAATTTGTTGCTGGAGTCCGATCCGAGCAGAAGTGCAGCATCTGCACGGTAACCGCTAAATACCCAATAATGACTATAGAAGACTCGATATTGACTACAAAGTCAGCATTTTCGAGGGAGACTGGGACTACCCATTAAATGAGTAGAAAATAACCAATTTATCAGTAGTTTTACTCACAAATGAATACTTACTACTTATTTGTGTAGTTGTAATTACTCATGAATGGGTAAAATTTTTACTCATTTAATGGGTAGTCCCAGTTTCCCTCGAAAATGCTTACTTTGTAGTCATCATTGGGTACTTTGCGGTGAGCGTTTGTACCCAATACGATGTAAACAGACTCGATAAGAATTTATCGGCTCTTTTATTCGCCTGCTGTTTAAATGTATGACAAAGTTTACCGTCACACTCCGTGAACCATTTGAACAGCGGGAGAACGTTGATAAAACATCACATAGTCAATTTTACAAAATGTCAAGAGCTCATAGTCGTTCGGCTACTAAATCCTGTCAAAGTTCATCCATAAATTAAAAATCAGCTGATCATAAATCTCGCGCAACATGAAAAGGGCCTATCATTGTTGATCGATTCTCTTGATCGATTTTCTAACCACCTTGCACGCTGTGCTACTCTTCGTCTTGTACCGGCCGGATTCGAGGCAAACACCATTTTTGCCGGATTGTTATCCGGCATTCTTAAAACGTGTCCCGCCCATCGTACCGGTCCAGCTTTCGCAACTTTCTGGATGCAGGGTTCGCCATAGAGTTGCGCCAGCTCGTGGTTCATCCTTCGCATCCATACACCGTTCTCACATACCCCACCAAAGCTGGTCCTAAGCACTCGTCGTTCGACAACACCCAGTGCTTGCAGGTCCTCCTCGAGCATCGTCCACGTCTCGTGCCCGTAGAGAACTACCGGTCTTATCAGCGTCTTGTACATGGTACATTTAGTACGGAGGTGAAGTTTACCCGACCTCAGGGTCTTGTGGAGTCCGTAGTAAGACGAATTTCTCCGCTGCAATTGCTATCCGACGTCACCAATGATCCGAGGTACACAAATTCATCCACCACCTCGAACTCATCTCCGTCGATTGTCACGCTTCTGCCTATGCGAGCCCTATCCCGCTCGGTTCCTCCAGCTAACAGATACTTTGTCTTCGACGTATTCACCTTTAATCCAACCTTTTCTGCTTCACGTTTCAGTCGGGTGTACTGCTCCGCCACGGCCTGGAACGTTCTTCCGACAATGTCCACGTCGTCAGCTAAGCCGATGAACTGGCTGGACTTATCGAAGATCGTACCCCGCATGTTAAAGCCCGCACGTTTCATAACACCTTCTAGCGCAATGTTGAACAGGAGACAGGAAACACAAACGAGTCCGATAACGCACCCGATATCTTCACGCAGCACTGTACACCATCCATCGTAGCCCTGACCAGTCTGGCCTGACAGCTTCCCGGGAAAACCGCTCTCGTCCATAATCTTCCATAGCTCCTCACGGTCAATAGTATCATAAGCGGCCTTGAAATCGATGAATAGGTGGTGCGTAGGGACTTGATATTTACGACACTTTTGGAGGATCTGCCGCAACGTAAAGATTTGGTCCGTTGTCGATCGCCCGTCCACAAAACCGGCTTGATAACTTCCCACAAATCTGCTTGCTAGCGGCGATAAACGGCGAAAGATGATCTGGAAAAGCACTTTGTGTGCCGTGTTAAGAATAGTGATCGCTCGATAGTTCTCATATTCTAGTTTGTCGCCTTTTTTAATATACTGGGCATATTACTCCCTCTTTCCACTCCTCCGGTAGCTGTATCTGTATCCCAGATCCTGACTATCAGTCGGTGCAGACAAGTGGCCAACTTATCCGGGCCCATTTTGATAAGTTCCGCTCCGATACCATCTTTCCCAGCTGCTTTGTTGTTCTTAAGCTGTCGGATAGCATCCTTAACTTCACCTATCGTGGGAGCTGGCATGTCTCCCTCATACGCTGTACCGACGAAGCCATTCCCCCTGCCGCCTTGGTCCTCTGCCTCTGCGCCGTTCAGATGTTCATCGTAGTGCTGCTTCCACCTTTCAATCACCTCACGTTCGTCCGTTAAGATACCCTCTTCCTCATCCCGACATATTTCGGCTCGCGGCACAAAGCCTTGGCGGGATGCGTTGAGTTTCTTGTAGAACTTGCGTGTTTCTTGTGAACGATACAGCTGCTCCATTTCTTCGCACTCCAGCTCTTCCAGGTGGCGCTTCTTATTCCGGAAAAGACGGGTTCCTTGCGGCAGCATCGCCGCCCGAGCTGCGTTCTTCTCGTCCAAAACCGTCTGACACTCTTCGTCGAACCAATCGTTCCGTCGATTCCGCTCCACGAACCCAACGGCGCCTACAACAGCGCTGTTAATGGCTGCTTTCACGTTGCTCCAGCAGTCCTCAGGAGGGGCTTCGGTGAGCTCTCCCTCATCCAGCAACTGCGTACTCAGTTGCGACTTCGGGCAGCTTCAGTCGCTCCAGATTGTACCGTGGCGGGCGTCGGTACCGAATGTTTTTGGCAACGGAAAGTTTTTGGCGCTCCTTGACCATTGGAAGGTAGTGGTCCGAATCGATATTTGCGCCGCGATAGGTCCTGACGTCGATAATGTTCGAGAAGTGCCTTTCGTCGATCAAAACGTGGTCGATTTGCGATTCTGTCTGCTGCGGTGATCTCCAGGTGTACCGATATGGGAGGCTATGCTGGAAGTAGATACTACGTATGGCCATTTTCTGCGGCAAAATCGATGAGTCTAAGGCCATTGGCGTTCGTTAGTGTTGTGTCCCGTAATTAAACACGCAGATAACAGGAACAACTTGAACAATATATTTATTAAACGTCTTAGGAAAAATGTGTTTATTTATTTATTGCGTCGTTAATTGACATATCAACAGCGTCAAATTGGCTGCGATGCACAGCTTCCGCTGCTGAAGTTTTTCTTTTAGCACCAATGTTGCTTACCGTAAGGTGGTGCTATAGCATCTCCCTCTTTAGGACATAACGTAGTGCTCAAATCTTGGAGGAAGGCGAACCGGTCGTCCTCGAGAAGTGGTAGCCACAGGAATCCGACTTCCAGGCACCTCTCGAAGTGTTGACTCTTGACTTGACGCTGGAACAGATGATCGTTGTCCTGGATGCCCATTCGGTTGATTTGGTTGACCTTCAGGTGGCTGATCCTCCTACCGTTGGTTGTGGATTGATGTTGAACTCGCCAAGTAATATTGTCAACGGCAACGATTCGTGATGTTTTGCTGCAAACGGTTCTCTTTCGTTATAGTTCACTACGGTGTGTCGTGGACGGAGTTGATTGATGTGAGATCGGATGAGACCAACTCGCTGTCCATCCAACCAGATATTGTAATTTACTGTTCCAATCTTCTCGATTACCTTTCCTGCTTCCCAGTACCAATCATTCCGCTTGTGCACCTTGGCGTACACCAAATCACCTGCGTTGAACTGCCTTGGTTGTTGAGCCGTTTCCAAGTCGACGGGTTTGGAGATTTCCGTCGGCCGCAATAGGTCAAGCGTTGTTCTCATCTGTCTACCGAACATCATTTCACTCGGTGATTTCTGCTCGGTAACTCCGCTTGGCGTTGAGC